TCTATTATTATCCTTACTATCATCTATTATTATCCTTACTATCATCTATTATTATCATTACTATCATCTATTATTATCATTACTATCATCTATTATTATCATTACTATCATCTATTATTGTCCTTACTACCATCTATTATTATCCTTACTACCACCTATTATTATAATTACTACCATCTATTATTATCCTTACTACCATCTATTATTATCCTTACTATCATCTATTATTATCATTACTATCATCTATTATTATCATTACTACGATCTATTATCATTACTATCATCTAGAATTATCCTTACTACCATCTATTATTATCTTTACTAACATCTATTATCATTACTATCATCTAAAATTATGATCCTTACTACCACCTATTATTATAATTACTATCATCTATTATTATCCTTACTACCATCTATTATTATCCTTACTACCATCTATTATTATCCTTGCTACCATCTATTATTATCCTTACTACCATCTATTATTATCCTTACTACCATCTATTATTATCCTTACTACCATCTATTATTATCCTTACTACCATCTATTATTATCCTTACTACCATCTATTATTATCCTTGCTATCATCTATTATTATCCTTACTATCATCTATTATTATCCTTACTATCATCTATTATTGTCCTTACTACCATCTATTATTATCCTTACTACCACCTATTATTATAATTACTACCATCTATTATTATCCTTACTACCATCTATTATTATCCTTACTATCATCTATTATTATCATTACTATCATCTATTATTATCATTACTACGATCTATTATCATTACTATCATCTAGAATTATCCTTACTACCATCTATTATTATCTTTACTAACATCTATTATCATTACTATCATCTAAAATTATGATCCTTACTATCATCTATAATTATAATTACTATCATCTATTATTGTCCTTACTATCATCTATAATTATAATTACTATCATCTATTATTGTCCTTACTATCATCTATTATTATCCTTACTACCACCTATTATTATAATTACTATCATCTATTATTATCCTTACTACCACCTATAATTATCATTACTATTATTATCCTTACTACCATCTTTTATTATCCTTACTATCATCTATTATTATCTTTACTATCATTGTCACCTAAATTAAGTCTGCGCATCATCATCACCATAATTATTACACTATTTAACAAAATGTGAAAATATTTCCGTTCCAGGCTTGAAAGTGTTATTTCCTGTTTATGTTGTTGCTGTTGTTGTTATTGTTATTATGACAGGAGGGTGGTCAAGATGGCCTCTGGAGTCCCATTCATACTCTACTGATGCTAATAGGCCTCAACTATGGGTTTCCCTATGGAAGGAGGATGATCTAGATAACCTCTGGAGCCCCCTGTAGCTAAGGCTACAGATGGGCAGTAGTTATAGGGCCAGCTTTAGCCCACCAGGTTAACCGCAAGCTCCAGGAAATTGACAGTTCGAAGCCTGGATCAGGGTGAGCTCCGGGCCTTTAGCTCAGCTTCTGCCTACCTAGCAGTTCCGAAAACAGCAATGTGAGTAGATACATAGGGAGGTATTTAAGACACCCATAAGGAAAGGCCAGAAAGGAAGAAGTTTACGAGCAAAGCTCTTCGGCAGGGAAAGTGTAACGACAGCTCCCCCCTGTGTCTGGAACCGAGCACAGCCTCCAAGATGCCGAAGATAGGAAAGCCTAGATAATATATACCTCTTTCTATGTATAGTTGTCGGTCTGGTCAGTGTATAATCGGCACTTAATGTTTGCAGTATATGTGATCCGCTCTGAGAAGGGCAGAATATAAATACTATCAATAAATAAATGCAAAATCATCTTCATCAGATGTACAAAGTCACCTAAATGCAAATTAGACTCATAAGAATGCCCTGTGGCTCGTTGCCTGGCTTCTTTGCAACAGGAGAGGCATTTCCTGCATGCGCTTCTTCCTGCGAACGTGAGCGAAATCCCTAAACCCAGGAGCCCAGAGGCTGGACAATGGAGGAGGCCTGAGAGGCTCCCTTCTCCTCCTCCCTTCTCTCTCTCTCTCTTGCTTTTCATTTCCAGGGATCCTTCCTTTCGCTCCAAAAGCATTAGCAGCTGCGGGGTCGACGCCGCAGAAACAACTAGACAAAAAGACACACAGATCGTCAAGGAAGGACTGCAAGGCCAATCGTGCGGACCTCATGCATCCCACTTTGGAAAAATAACATGGCATTCCTTTCATGATTCCAACAATAAGAAAAGTAGTAGTAGTAGTAGTAGTAGTAATAACAACAGGTGAAAAGGAATTGGAATTCAACCCCAGACTCTGCTTGTGTGTCAGGCGAGCATATACTGTGTACTTTGAGATCTCTCTCCGCTTGTCCGCTTGTGTGTCTGTAGAGTATGTGTTGTGTTCTTTGATGCTTTGAGGTCTCTCTCTGCTTGTGTGTCAGGAGAGTATGTGCTGTGTGCTTTGAGGTCTCTCTCTGCTTGTGTGTCAGGAGAGTATGTGCTGTGTGCTTTGAGGTCTCTCTCTGCTTGTGTGTCAGGAGAGTATGTGCTGTGTGCTTTGAGATCTCTCTCTGCTTGTGTGTCAGGAGAGTATGTGTTGTGTTCTTTGAGATCTCTCTCTGCTTGTGTGTCAGGAGAGTATGTGCTGTGTGCTTTGAGATCTCTCTCTGCTTGTGTGTCAGGAGAGTATGTGCTGTGTGCTTTGAGGTCTCTCTCTGCTTGTGTGTCAGGAGAGTATGTGCTGTGTGCTTTGAGGTCTCTCTCTGCTTGTGTGTCAGGAGAGTATGTGCTGTGTGCTTTGAGATCTCTCTCTGCTTGTGTGTCAGGAGAGTATGTGCTGTGTGCTTTGAGGTCTCTCTCTGCTTGTGTGTCAGGAGAGCATGTGCTGTGTGCTTTGAGGTCTCTCTCTGCTTGTGTGTCAGGAGAGTATGTGCTGTGTGCTTTGAGATCTCTCTCTGCTTGTGTGTCAGGAGAGTATGTGTTGTGTTCTTTGAGATCTCTCTCTGCTTGTGTGTCAGGAGAGTATGTGCTGTGTGCTTTGAGATCTCTCTCTGCTTGTGTGTCAGGAGAGTATGTGCTGTGTGCTTTGAGGTCTCTCTCTGCTTGTGTGTCAGGAGAGTATGTGCTGTGTGCTTTGAGGTCTCTCTCCGCTTGTGTGTCAGGAGAGTATGTGCTGTGTGCTTTGAGGTCTCTCTCCGCTTGTGTGTCAGGAGAGAGTGTGCTGTGTGCTTTGAGATCTCTCTCCGCTTGTGTGTCAGGAGAGTATGTGCTGTGTGCATTGAGATCTCTCTCCGCTTGTGTGTCAGGAGAGTATGTGCTGTGTGCTTTGAGATCTCTCTCCGCTTGCGTGTCAGGAGAGTATGTGCTGTGTGCATTGAGATCTCTCTCCGCTTGTGTGTCAGGAGAGTATGTGTGTGCATTGAGATCTCTCTCCGCTTGCGTGTCAGGAGAGTATGTGCTGTGTGCTTTGAGATCTCTCTCCGCTTGTGTGTCAGGAGAGTATGTGCTGTGTGCATTGAGATCTCTCTCTGCTTGTGTGTCAGGAGAGTATGTGCTGTGTGCTTTGAGATCTCTCTCTGCTTGTGTGTCAGGAGAGTATGTGTTGTGTGCTTTGAGATCTCTCTCTGCTTGTGTGTCAGGAAAGTATGTGCATTGTGGTTTGAGATCTCTCTCTGCTTGTGTGCTTGGATGTATTTTCCCTCTCTTTGAAACCTTACAAGAGATGGGCGCTAGAGTAGCTCAGGCCCAGTTCTTGATTATTCAAAAATACAGTTATGTCTCGTTAATGTAAATAAACTTTATGTGATTTTTTAAAGATTCAACTCTGCATGCTTGCCTCCTAAACTCTGAATTCTTTACAGCCACATCACAGAACTTCATGCTCCGCTCGCGAATGAGCTGACGCTCAACTTTTGTATCCTGTTTGTTTTTGGATGCTCTGCTGTATATATTTAGGGTAGTTTTCTCTCACAAAAGAGAGGTCTCTTGTAGGACAGGAAAGCAGGATGTAGTAACAACAACAACAACAACAATTACAGTAGAGTCTCGCTTATCCRACTTTCACTTATCCGACATTCCGTGTTATCYGACGCTCTTATTCWATGTCYCCTTTTCCTCAAGCATTGCCCCTTCAATTAAAAGTGCACTCCCCAATTACAGTAGAGTCTCGCTTATCYGACCTTCACTTATCCGACATTCCGTGTTATCCGATGCTCKTATCCAATGTCCCCTTTTCCTCAAGCATTGCCMCTTCAATTAAAGGTGCACTCCCCAATTAAATTGAGTATCGCTTATCCGACCGTCACTTATCCGACAWTCMGTGTTATCCGACACTCTTATCCAATGYCCCCTTTTCCTCAAGCATTGCCCCTTCAATTAAAGGTGCGCTCCCCAATTACAGTAGAGTCTCGCTTATCCRACCTTCACTTATCCGACATTCCGTGTTATCCAATGCTCTTATCCAATGTCCCCTTTTCCTCAAGCATTGCCTCTTCAATTAAAGGTGCGTTCCCCAATTACAGTAGAGTCTCGCTTATCTGACCTTCACTTATCCAACATTCCATGTTATCCGACGCTCTTATCCAGTGTCCCCTTTTCCTCAAGCATTTCCCCTTCAATGAAAGGCGCGCTCCCCAACTCTCTCTCCATTCCCCATAAGTGAACAAGGCAAGGCAAGGAGGAGGAAGAGGAGGGAGGGAAGGGGGAAAAAAGGCAGGACCGGAAGCGGAAGCATCCTTCCTCCTTCCCTCTGTGATTTCCACGCTCATCTTCCCCTCTAGCCCTGAGGCGTTGCCTTGTCTTAACTCTTTGAGTCCTTCATGAGAGTATTCTAGGTGTTTAGCGGCGTGTCGGACGGGTCACTGTAGGAGACTCCCTATTATCCGACATTCTGCCCGTCTGTTTACGTCGGATAAGCGAGACTACTGTAAAGGTTGAAGAGAGGGGTGTTTATAGGGGGACCCCATCGTTGTTTGGCTTAATGACGGATGTAAACGCACAGGTTTCTCCTTTTATTTCCCATCCTGTACACTTTTTAAAAAGCACTTTCCCTTATTATTATTTTTTTACAAATAGAATCTTCTGAGCAATAGCGATAAATAGAATTTTTTTCTTCTCGTTTCATTTTATACATTATGGTCGTCGTCACTCGGAAACACCGACACAACTTTGGGGCTCGTTTTGAAAACCGAACAAAGAAAACGAAGGAAAAAAGAAGTAGAGGCCGCGAAGGACCTGAACTGAAACAAAACAAATCGAAAAGCCAGGCGAGGCGGCAGACGGACAACACAAAAGAGATCCAGGAGGAGGTGCGATTGTTTCTTCCCGTCTTCTTCAGGAAGGAAATTAAATAGGGATGTTTTCTTAGGGTCGTCGACACCCGCGTTCGCCCCTCAGTGGGGTCCTTCACAGTGTTTTGCACGTTCGGATTGCAAAAAAGCACAAACAAACACCAAAAAAAAAACTGTACAGCAAAATCGCAAAGGGCAACGTCCGGCAGAGATGAGAGAGGACCCTTTTGTCCCAAATGGCCAGACGAATCAGGGTCAAAGAGGGGCCGGAGGGGATGGGTGCCTTGCTGGACCTCAGGAACCAAGACTGGACGGCAAAGGATGAAGATGTCTCTTCCGCTCAGCATCCAGTTCAGTGAATTGTCCATACTAGTTGCTTACTGGACGTCAGAACGGAATGGTCAAGAGTGGACGGAATGATAGAGGAGAAGGGTCAGTTGGCCAAAGAGTATCCACAGATCAATGGTCATTGTAGGCCATCTGGATGGCTTGCTGGACAATGGTCAAGTGGATGGAACGGCAAAGGGGGCATCCATTTGAGGTCTCTCTCTGCTTGTGTGTCAGAATTAGTTTATCCGTAAGGGATGGACGGATCTCTGCACTGTCCTGACCTGAGTGCCCAGCGGTCAAATGGAGGGAATATGGCTCTTTTGCTTGGCAAATTGGGGCCAAAGAGTGTCCGTGGTGGACAAATGAATCCCCGCATGGTCACTGCGGATGGCCTGGATGGCTTGACGCCCAACGGTCAGGAGGGACGGAAGGACAGAAGAGATTGTTGGCACCCAAGTCGAGTGGGATATTATTCTCTGTTACTGGACATTAGGGGACCCGTTTTGACACCGGTTCTGGCTCTGGAAAATGCCATCTTGGGAGAAGCAGCCATGATGTCCATCAAGCGATTGTCCATTGATTTGAAGGGTCAAGCTGGACAGTGGCTGGAGGCCTTAGGGTAGTTTTTTTGGGGGGGGGGGATCTGGAGCACAGCTCATGGAAAAAGGGGGCAGGGCTTGGGGCGAGGGTCGTTCCAAGGAAAGGCCCCGGTGGAGTCCAGTCCAGTCCTGCCAGGTCTGGTGGGTCAAGAGCACCCCAAGGCGCATCGGGGGTCAATCGGGAGGCGCAGGAGGGTCATCCTAGGTGGTCAGCAGAGGCGTGGTCTGGCCGAAGGGCCGCCTTGCGCTTCTTCACCGTGTGCTGCAGAATTTGGAGGAGAAGGTCAGTGCAGAACAAGGGGACCTCTTGACCTACAACACCCCACTTCTGTGGAGGCAGGAAATTCCCTCCGGCCTCAAAGGTGCCAAAGTTATTCTGGGCATCCATGGGGACTCTCTGCCCCATGGATTTGGGGCAAAGTGGGTGTGGCCTTCTGTCATTTCTTTAGGATAGGTTTTGGGGGAATGTGGCCACAGGTCACACAATTAGGATACCAAAGGTCAGCTGAACCAATCGGAATTCAGTGCTAGTGCAATGGATCATCTCTCTCTCACACTCTGAAGTTTGGACTAATATCCGGAATGGATTGTCCTTCCACAAGCCCCAAACCCCATCCTCAGAATAGATCTAACACAATGGATCATCCCCTTCTCTGTGAAGTTTGGACTAACATCCGGAATGGATTGTCCTTCCACAAGCAGCAAATCTCGTTCTCAGAATAGATCTAACACAATGAAGCATCTCCCCCTCTGAGGTTTGGACTAAAATTTGGATCTGAAGAGTTCGAAGGAGGAAAAGTGGGAACGAAGTCAAGCTGGGAGACCCTCAAGGTGGCTCGTTCAGGGACTTAATATGGCCGGTGGGATGGCCCCTGATAAGGTGGTCACAGAGGAGGTGGCCTTGTTGATGTCACTGTCATGCCATTAGGTCTCAGTGAGGCTCCTCGGCAGCACGCCTGGAGGAAACGTGCCATGGATGATCCTTCAGAAGGACACTCTCTCTCTCCCTCTGGAGAAACCCACAACCCCAAAAGCAGGAGATGGGCTTGCTGACCTTATGATCATTTGTTTTGTGGGTGGCGCATCCACGGCGGGCTAGCAGCTCTGGATTGCGACAGATGGACGAGACAGAGAGAAAGGAGGAGAAGGTTACAAACCACACATAAATATGAGGCATGGGAATGAATGGCCAGCCTCCCAAAGGGTTGACAGAGAGATGACCCCTCCTCGCTAAAATATCTCCTATCATCCTGCCCTGTGCTTTGACTGGGGATTCATGGGAAATAGAGTCTGGAAGCAGAAAGGCAGTGTTTCCAAACCAGGCTTCAGGTCGACTCACCAAGTTGGACGGCGGCCGCTCCGTCTGTTCGAGCTGGATCTTGATCTCTGGACACGAAGGGTCAGCAGACTTCCGGGGGTCTGGCTGCGGGGAAGGGCCTGGGAAACACAGGGAAGAAATGACTGGGGGTCCTAGACATAGAGGCAGAGGGATCAAGGGGTTTTTTAGACCTGACTAAGGATGTTGTCGAGCCCTCCAGCACAAGCCGGCTCTTGCCTCGGCCTCCCCTTAATCCCTCTGTCTGAGCGACAACGCCATAAATACTCATTAAGGGTGATTATTACAGAAGAGACAAAAGTCCAACCCTGGCGTCACTCAGAGCAATTAACAACCATTAATTATCCTTTTTTGCTTTCAAACACCTCGTGACAGTCTCCCGGCCCTTGGAGAATGCCATTCCATGGCTGACCGGTGCAATGTCCAACTTTGCTGGACAGGCGCGGTACACCCATATCTTTGGCTCTCCTTCCAGAAAACCCCCTTTCTCCCACTGAGACTTTCTCACACTGAGATGAACTAACACTGAGGCCTTCTAACACTGAGGTCTACCTCACATTGAGGCCTTTCTCTCACTGAGACCTTCTCATACTGAGATGAACTAATATGGAGGCCTTCTAACACTGAAGTCTACCTCACACTGAGGCCTTCTCACACTGAGATGAACCCTCACACTGAGGCCTTTCTCACACTGAGATTAATTAACACTGAGGCCTTATAACACTGAGGTCTACCTCACATTGAGGCCTTTCTCTCACTGAGACCTTCTCACACTGAGATGAACTAATACGGAGACCTTCTAACACTGAGGTCACACTGAGTCCTTCTCACACTGAGATGAACTGAGGCCTTCTGAGGTTTACCTCACACTGAGGCCTTTCTCCCACTGAGGTCTTCTCACACTGAGATGAACTAACACTGAGGCCTTCTAACAATGAGGTCTACTTCACATTGAGGCCTTTCTCTCACTGAGACCTTCTCATACTGAGATGAACTAATATAGAGGCCTTCTAACACTGAAGTCTACCTCACACTGAGGCCTTCTCACACTGAGATGAACTGAAGCCTTCTGAGGTTTACCTCACACTGAGGCCTTTCTCCCACTGAGGTCTTCTCACACTGAGATGAACTAACACTGAGGCCTTCTAACAATGAGGTCTACTTCACATTGAGGCCTTTCTCTCACCGAGACCTTCTCATACTGAGATGAACTAATATGGAGACCTTCTAACACTGTAGTCTACCTCACACTGAGGCCTTCTCACACTGAGATGAACTGAGGCCTTCTGAGGTTTACCTCACACTGAGGCCTTTCTCCCACTGAGGCCTTCTCACACTGAGATGAATTAACACTGAGGCCTTCTAACACTGAGGTCTACCTCACACTGAGGCCTTTCTCCCACTGAGGCCTTCTCACACTGAGATGAATTAACACTGAGGCCTTATAACACTGAGGTCTACGTCACAATGAGGCCTTTCTCCCACTGAGGCCTTCTCACACTGAGATGAACTAACACCGAGGCCTTCTAACAATGAGGTCTACGTCACAATGAGGCCTTTCTCCCACTGAGGTCTTCTCACACTGTGGCCCTTGTGTGGGGATGGCAGTCCGCCAGGCAGGGTTGGTGTTCTTACCGGGGGAGCTCCCTGCACTGGCGGCACTGAGGCTGTCCTCCAGCCAAGTGCTGTAGATGAAGGAGCCCCGCTTGTGGGGCGCCTCAGAGGAGGAGGAGTGGCTCTCCTGCGGGCATAAGGGGGTGCAATCAGGGGTCACAAACATATTCCCAAATCTAAAGCTCGTCCGCTTCCTCCTCCCACCCGCCTTGGTGCCAATGAATCCTACCGTGCCGGCATCGTCATCATCGTCACCGTTGTCGTCCTCGTGACCGCTGCCTTGGGGCCCTTCGGTCCCGCTGCCAAAGCTGCTGGCGCTGGAGGAAGAGGAGCGGGAGCAGCCGCTGCGAAGGGCCTCCGCTTTGGGGGCCGGCCTGAAGCGGAACACAGGGCGTGGGGGGGGAGGGGGAGGCAGGACGGGAGACAAACAAACAAACAGAGTAAGGGTGTAAACCAATATATTGATAATAACAATACCCCCCCCTATATTCCCATCCCCACCCATGTTGAGGGGCCGACCTGTTCTTGGTGGTGGGCATCTCGGGTGAACTCTGGTTGGACGAATCCTCCGATTTGGGGTCCTGGGAGACGTGGCCGCTGTCCGGCGTCTTTTCAGGACCAGTCGGGCTCTCCCTTCAAGGGAGAAGGCACAACACATCACTACATAACCCATCACTGCTGGCGGGAGCGATGGGAGCTTCAGTCCCACACAGTGCTGGTCTGGAAGGACTTCACCCCCCAAAGAGGGGGCAAATAAAACCCAACATAATCTTATGGCTGGACTAAAAATCCCATCATTACTGACGGGAGTGATGGGAGATGGAGTCCCACACTATGCTGGTCCGAAGGGGCTTCACCCCCAAAGGGGGGCAAATAAAACCCAACATGACCTTATGGCTGGACTACAAATCCCATCATTACTGACGGGAGCGATGGGAGATGGAGTCCCACACAGTGCTGGTCCGAAGGGGCTTCACCCCCAAAGGGACGGCAAATAAAACCCTACATGACCTTATGGCTGGACTACAAAACCCATCATTACTGACGGGAGTGATGGGAGATGGAGTCCCACACAGTGCTGGTCTGAAGGAGCTTCACCCCCAAAGGGGGGCAAATAAAACCCAACATGACCTTATGACTGGACTACAAATCCCATCATTACCGATGGGAGCGATGGGAGATGGAGTTCCACACAGTGCTGGTCTGGAAGGGGCTTCATCCCCGAAGGGGGGCAAATAAAACCCAACATGACCTTATGGCTGGACTACAATACCCATCACTGCCAATGGAAGCTGGAGCTCCATAGGTGCTTTCTAAGGCTATCCTAACCCCAAAATATCACAACGATGAAGCCACAAGGTCCCGGGGACAATGGGATGGGGTGGCACACCTCTTTTCCTGCACTTCCTGGATGTTCTCGATGCCGATGGCGCTGCTGCGGCGCGATCCGAAGGGCCCGGACTTCTTCCGCGTGGGGCTTTTCCCAGGGACGATCAGGGACTGGAAGAGAAGCAAGGCCCATCGTCCACAGAGAAGGGGGTTCGGGGCAGGAGAAGGGCATGGGCAATACGCCTGGAGTCCCTGCGGCCCCCGATACGCAGGAACCATGGGAACCGGAGTCCTGAGCCCGACCCCCAGCCGTGTCCCATCACCCATGTCCCATCATCCCTAGGAAGGGAGGAAGAGCCAAGGCGGAACCCGCTTGGTTTTCATGGGAGCAGAAGCGGGGCTTCGGGGGGGGGCTCTTGCAATGCGGGGTTCATGTTGATGGCTGTGAGTGACAGGCAGAAGGGGACCCCAGGGGCCTTCGTATAGACATCAGGAGGAGACAGAAGGAAGGAAGGAAGGAAGGAAGGAAGGAAGGAGAAGGAAGGAAGGGAGGGAGGGAGGGAAGATAAAGGGGAAGGGAGGGTGGCTGGGCATAAATGGCGGGAGGAAGAAGGTGGGAAGGAAACGGATGAACATAGGGATGAATGAATGAAAAGAAGGGAAGACAAAATAAATAAGGGAAAGGGAAGACATGTAAATAGAGGAATAGATAGAAAGGAGTAAAAAGAGAAGGAAAGAAAGAATGGAAGGAGGGGAAGGAGAAGTGAATGACCAGAGGGATGGAGACAAGAGAGGGAGGGGAAGAAGAAAGGAAGGAAAGAAAGGTAGAGTGGAGGAAAGAGAGAAGGAAAGAGGGAAGGAAAGGAGGAAGAGGAGTGTAGAAATGGAAGGTGGGTGGAAGGAAGAGAAGAAAGAAGGAGGGAAGGAAGAAGGGAGGGAAAGGGAAAGAAGAAAGGAAGAAAAGAGGGAAGGAGAAGAGGTAGCACAGAGAGAGAGAGAGAGAGAGAGAAGAATGGAGGGAAGATAGATGAAGGGAAAGAGGAGTGTAGGAATGGAAGGTGAGAGGAAGGAAGAGGAGATAAAAGGAAGAAGGGAGGAAGGGAAAGGGAAATAAGAAAGGAAGAATGGAGGGAAGGAGAAGAGGAAGCACAGAGAGAGAAGGAATGAAGGGAAGAGAGATGAATGAGTGGAAAGAAGGAAGGAAAGGAGGAAGAGGAGTGTAGGAATGGAAGAGAAGATAGAAGGAAGGGAGGGAGGGAAAGGGAAAAAGAAAGGAAGAAAAGAGGGAAGGAGAGGAAGCACCAAGGGAGGAAGAAAGAAAGAAAGAAAGAAGAAAGGAAAGAAAGAGGAGGAAGGAAAAGGGAAAGAGAGGTAGGAAGGAAGGAAGAGGAAGGAAGAGGAGAAAAAGGAAGAAGGAAAGGAAAGGGAGAAGGAAGAAAGGAAGAAAGGAGGGAAGGAGAAGAGAAGAAGAGAGGGAGAAGGAAGAAGGAAGAGAGGAGATGAAAGAAGGAAGAAAAAGGAGGAAGAGAGGAGGAAGAAAGAGAAGGAGAAGGAAGGGAGGGAGGGAAGGGAAAAGAAAGGAAGAAAGAGGGAAGGAAGGAAGAAGGGAAAGAAAGAAAAAAAGAAAGAAAGAAAGAAAGAAAGAAAGATGGAGGGAAGAGAGATAAAGGGAAAGACGAGGAGTGTAGGAATGGAAGGCGAGAGGAAGGAAGAGGAGATAGAAAGGAGGGAGGGAGGGAGGGAAGAAGGAAGGAGGAGGAGAAGAGGAAGAACGGAGAGGGAAGGAAAGAAGGGAAGAATGAAGGGAAGAGAAATGAATGTGTAGAAAGAAGGAAGGAAAGGAGGAAGAGGAATGAAGGAATGGAAGGTAGGAGGAAGGAAAGAAGGAAGGAAGGGAAAGGGAAAGAAGAAAGGAAGAAAAGAGGGAAGGAGAAGAGTAAGCACCAAGGGAGAAAGAAAGAAAGAAAGAAAGAAAGAAAGAAAGAAAGAAAGAAAGAAAGAAGAGGAAGGAAGAATGGAGGGAAGATAGGTGACGGGAAAGAGGAGTGTAGGAAGGAAGAAGAAAGAAAAGATGAAGAGAGATGAATGGGTGGAAATAAGGAAGAGGAGTGTAGGAATGGATGCCAGGAGGAAGGAAGACGAGATAGGGAGAAAAAAGGAAGAAAGGAGAGAAGGAGAAGAGGAAGCACGGAGGGAGAAAGAAAGAAGGGACAAATGGAGAGAAGGGAAATGAAGGAAAAGAGAAAGGTGGGAGGAAGGAAAACGATATAGATGGAAGGATGGATGGATGGATGGATGGAAGGAAGGAAGGAAGGAAGGAAGGAAGGAAGGAAGGAGGAAGGGGAAGGGAAAGAAGAAAGGAGGGGAGGAGAAGAGGATGCGTGGAGAGAGAAGGATAGAAAGAAGGGAAGAATGGAGGGAAGAGAGATGAAGGAAAAGAGGAAGAGTGTAGGAATGGTAGGTGGGAGGAAGGAAGAGGAGACAGAAGGAAGGAAGGAGTGGAGAGAGGGAGGAATGAAGGGAAGGAAGAGGGAGAGAGACGGACGGACGGACGGATGGACAGAGAGATTGAGGAAGAAAGCAGCCACCTCTTCTATGGTTCCTATTCCTATGGCGCTGCCTCGGCGTCCGTACCTACTTGGCGTTTTCCCAGGGACAAGCAATGACTGGCAAGCGAGCAGGAAATCATAAAGGAGAAGGGAAAAAAGAAGAGAAGAAAAGAGAAGAGAGGACAGGCAGGGAGGGAGAACAAAGGAACGAGACAGAGAGAGAGAGAGAGAGAAAGAAAGAGAGAAGTCATGCAAAGAAAATGGCGCTGGGCCGTTGTTGTTATTGTTGTTGTGGCGCAGAACCAAAGGCAGCTGTGGGGCAGAGGGCCCCCTTTCCTGGGGCTCTTTGGACTACAACTCCCATCCTCTCTTTGCAACTCCCAGAATCCCCACCCACTCTTGTTGGGGAGCTGTCGTCCAAAGGCTTGCAGCTCAACTCAAGTGGTACAACGTGAGCCCGCGAGCGAGCGGGAGAGAAAGATGGCTCTCTGGCCCCGAATGGGAGGACTGGGCCCCCCTCGGTCCCCTTTCTTCCTTCTTTTCTTCCATCTCTCTCTCCTCTCTCCTCTCCAACTTTCTCAATGGTTCCAATTCCAGAAAATGAGGCTCTTCTGCCACCCAGTGGCCATTTCGAGGCATTACGCCATCTCCATTATGGCACCATTTCGAGGATAGCCAGCAGAGGGAGATGAGACCTGAGAAAGGTCAGTGGAGGAAGGGGGAGGCCGGGCACCCACTGAAGTGGGCCCAGTGGGGTTCAAAGCAGCGAAGCGGTCGCTTACAATGCCGGCCGTCTTGGCCACGTCCGGGTTGTTGTGCCCGAAGCTGCCGCTGTGGCTGGCCGAGACGGTGTTCTGCCGCTTGCCGCTCAGGCCCACCGCGTCCATCGACTGGCTGCGGCTGCGGATCACGCGCTGCAAAAGGAGAGGCCTCAGTATGAGGTAGCCCTCAGTGTGGGAGAGGTCTCTGTGTGGGAAGGGCCTCAGTGAGAGAAGCCTCAGTATGAGGTAGCCCTCAGTCTGTGAGAGGTCCCTGTGTGAGAAGGGCCTCAGTATGAGGTAACCCTTTGTCTGTGAGAGATCTCTGTGTGAGAAGGGCCTCAGTGAGAGAGGCCTCAGTATGAGGTAGCCCTCAGTCTGTGAGAGGTCTCTGTGGGGAAAAGGGCCTCAGTGAGAGAGGCCTCAGTATGTATGAGGTAGCCCTCAGTTTGAGTGAGGTCTCTGTGGGAGGACAGCCTCAGTATGAGGTAGACCTCAGTGTGTGAGAGGTCTTTGTGTGAGAAGGGCCTCAGTGAGAGAGGCCCCAGTATGAGGTAGCCCTCAGTGTGAGAGAGGCCTGTGGGAGAAGGGCCTCAGTGAGAGAGGCAGCCCTCAGTGTGAGAGAGGTCTCTTGTGAGAGGTCCCTGTGTGAGAAGGGCCTCAGTATGAGGTAACCCTTTGTCTGTGAGAGATCTCTGTGTGAGAAGGGCCTCAGTGAGAGAGGCCTCAGTATGAGGTAGCCCTTAGTCTGTGAGAGATCTCTGTGTGAGAAGGGCCTCAGTGAGAGAGGCCTCAGTATGAGGTAGCCCTCAGTCTGTGAGAGGTCTCTGTGGGGAAAAGGGCCTCAGTGAGAGAGGCCTCAGTATGTATGAGGTAGCCCTCAGTTTGAGTGAGGTCTCTGTGGGAGGACAGCCTCAGTATGAGGTAGACCTCAGTGTGTGAGAGGTCTTTGTGTGAGAAGGGCCTCAGTGAGAGAGGCCCCAGTATGAGGTAGCCCTCAGTGTGAGAGAGGCCTGTGGGAGAAGGGCCTCAGTGAGAGAGGCAGCCCTCAGTGTGAGAGAGGTCTCTGTGGGAGAAGGGCCACAGTTCACTTCAGTATATGAAAGGTGTCAGTCTGAGAGAGAGCCCAAAGCCTGGCCCTGTCTGTGCCAGAAACCTACCTTGAAGGATTCAAAGAAGCCCCCTCCTCCTCCGCCGCTGCCGTTCTCCATCTTGTCCTCGTCGCCCCCCAAGCCCATCATGGATTGGCTGTTGAGGTGCAGCTCCTCGTAGAGCGTCTCCAGCAGCGCCGTCCGTGTCCGCTCCTGAGGCAAGGAAGGAAGGAAGGTAAGAAGGAAGGAGGCAGGGAGGGAAAGGAAGAGGAAGGGAAGGGTGGAATGAGAAGGAAGGAAAGGAAGAAGGAAGGAAGGAGGGAAGAAGGAAGGAAGGAGGAAGGAAGGAAGGAAGGGAAGGAAGGAAGGAAGGAGGGAAGGAGGGAAGGGAGGAAGGAAGGGAAGGAAGGGAGGAGGAAGGAAGGAAGGAAGGAAGGAAGGAGGGGAAGGGAGGGAGGAAGAGGAAGGAGGGAGGAGGGAGGGAGAGGAGGAGGGAAGGAAGGAGGAAGGAAGGGAGAGGAGGAAGGAAGGGAGGGAAGGAGGGAGGGAGGAAGGAAGAAGGAAGGAGGGGAGGGAAGGAAGGAGGGAGGGAAGGGGAAGGAGGGAAGGAAGGAAGGAGGGAAGGAAGGAAGGAAGGAAGGAAGGAGGAAGGGAAGGAGGGGAGGGAGGGAAGGAAGGAAGGACGGAAGGAGGGAGGGAGGAAGGAAGGAAGGCATCATCATCAGTAGGTGGGTCTTGATCCCAACCCCATTTGGGTCAGGATCCAAAGCAGGAAGCAGCCCATGGATGAACCCAAGAACCAAAATGAGAGTCGCAAACTGACCTCCAGTTTGGCAAACTTCTCGGCTTTGTAGCAGGCATACTCCGCATTGATCAGCTTCGTCAAGAGGAACTCCTGGAACTCGGGGCCCTGGAAAAGCGAGAGTCTGAGCCCGCCTGCCCTTGTTTTTGAACCCAGCGCCTGCGGGCATTGCAACGGAGCCCCAAAGAGGAGGGAGCCGGGCCCTGCTGACCTTTCGGAAAACTGCCGGGTCGGGCAGCGGGGGTCCGAAGAAGGGCACGTCGTCCCGGGCCGTGGCAGAGACCTGAAGCAAAACCAAGGGAGGGGGTTGGGTCAAGGGGTCAGTGCCTGCAGACCCTTCTGTTTGGACTCCTCCCCCTCGTGGAAGGGGTCCTTCGCTCACCTTGTAGAGTCCACTCCCGTCGCTGCTGCCCGGCCCTTCGGCCTGGACCACCACGTAGGCGTGCAGGAAGTTGGAGGCAATCATGTCCGGCACGAAAGGCGTGCTCTCGTCCTGGAAGACGATGGCCACAATGTCGTTGCCGATGTGCCGCTTGCGCTGGAGCTGCGGGCGGGTGGGGGGAGGGAAGGAGGGAGCGGTCACTCCTGGTCAGCTCACCACTCTTGACCAAAGAGCAACACTCTTGCTCAGGGAGAGGCCAGTCCAAACAGCAAGGGGTCACTCCCCACCCGCGAGTGGTCACTCCCTACCAGCAGACCCCTTGGCATAGCAACTGGTCACTCTTGCCCAGTGAGTGGTCACTTCCCACCGGCGACTGGCCACTCCCCACTAGCAGACCCTTTTGCACAGTGATTGGTCACTCTTGCCTAGTGAGCAGTTAGTCCTCTCAGCCAGTGAGCGGTCACTCCCCACCGCAGAGCCCTTTGCACAACAACTGGTCACTCCCCACTGGTAAGTGGACACTCCCTACTGTGAGTGGTCACTCCCTACCAGCAGACCCCTTGGCACAGCAACTGGTCACTCTTGCCCAGTGAGTGGTCACTCCCCACCAGCAGACCCCTTTGCACAGTGATTGGTCACTCTTGTTCAGTGAGCGGTTACTTCTCTCAGCCAGCAAGTGGTCACTTCCCACTTCCCGCAGACTGCTTTGCACAGCAACTGGTTACTCTTGCCAAGTGAATGGTCACTCCCCACTGGTGAGTCATCACTCCTCACCCGCAGACCCATTTGCACAGCGATTGGTCACTCTTGCCCAGTGAGCGGTTACTTCTCAGCCAGCGAGCGGTCACTCTGTACCGCAGACCCCTCTGCACAGCAACTGGTCACTCTTGCTCAGCGAATGGTCACTCCCTGCTGGTAAGTGGACACTCTCCACTGGTGAATGGTCACTCCCAACCCGTAGATCCGTTTGCACAGCGATTGGTCACTCTTGCCCAGTGAATGATCACTCCCCACTGGTAAGTGGTCACTCCCCACTGGTGGGTGGTCACTCCCCACCTGCAGACCCGTTTGCACAGCGATTGGTCACTCTTGCCCACTGAGCAGTCACTCCCCACCGGCGAACAGTCACTCCCCACCCACAGACCCATTTGCACAGCAATAGGTCACTCTTGCCCAGTGAGCGGTCACTCCCCACCAGCACACCCCTTTGCACAGTGATTGGTCACTCAGCCAGCAAGTGGTCACTCCCCACCTGCAGACCTCTTTGCACAGCAATTGGTCACTCTTGCCCAGCAAATGGTCACTCCCCAATGGTGAGCAGTCACTCCATACCCGCAGACCTCTTAGCACAGCAATTGGTCACTTGCCCAGTGAATGGTCACTCCCCACCAGCAAGTGGTCACTCTCGACCAGCAGACCCAAATCCCCTCTCTAGACACCCTCCCTGCACCCAGAAAGGCTGCTTTAATCTCTTATCCCGGAAACTCAAGATTGGAAGCATTATGTCTAGAAATAATGGGGGGCGATGGGCCCCGCAGTCCCCTCTTTTCAAAGCTCAGCTTCCCCTCCAACATTTGCTCCTATGAACAACAACAACAACAACAACAACAACATCCCTCTCTCAAGCGAGACTCAAGGGTTGCTTCCACCCCCAGGGACTGCAAGCCTTTGGGATGGAGACTGTGGTGCTTCGCGTAGATGTAACGGAGCGGGGACGATGGGCCTGGCCGCCCTCTTTCCTGCCCACCTGCTGGGCGTCCCCTTCGGTGAAGGGCAGCTTGGTGGAGACGTGGAACATGATCTCCTTGTTGCGGAAGTTGCAGTAGACCGACTCGGTCCCCGTTTGCCCATGGGTCACGTCCAGGCCGCCCCGAAACCTGCCGAGAAGAAGCACGACACCCGCATTCGGACCCTCGGCCTCCCTTTCCCCGCCCCCAGACACGCGTCCCACTCCTCCTCCTCCTCACCCCTTGAAGTCCTGCAGTTGTACTCTCTGGCCCAAAAGCTCCAGGAACTCCACAAAGGCCGGGCTCTCCTCCGTGGTGCTGAAGAGCTCCTCTTCCGACGTCTGCGGAGAGATATCGATTGGGGTTTGGGCGTGGCTTCGCGGCCTTCAAACATCCCTTGTCATCAATGTTTTCAACGGATTCAAGCAAAGACTTCCTTGTTTCTAGTATGGTCATGGCTTGAGTCCTGTCCTGCCTCAAAGGGACATCGTCCTTGCAACCTCTGAACCTCTAAGACCAGCCACAGACATTGAGAAACTCCTTGCAACCTCTGAACCTCTAAGACCAGCCACAGACAATGAGAAACTCCTTGCAACCTCTGAACCTCTAAGACCAGCCACAGACATTGAGAAACTCCTTGCCACCTCTGAACCTCTAAGACCAGCCACAGACATTGAGAAACTCCTTGCAAACTCTGAACCTCTAAGACCAGCCACAGACATTGAGAAACTCCTTGCAACCTCTAACCTCTAAGACCAGCCACAGACATTGAGAAACTCCTTGCAACCTCTGAACCTCTAAGACCAGCCACAGACATTGAAAATGTCTTTGCAACCTCTGAACCTCTAAGACCAGCCAAAGACATTGAGAAA